CGGCGCGCGCGCAGGGGGGCGGTGCCAGGGCGTGCGCGCGCGGGCGGACTCGCGGGGGCGCGGGCGCGCCCCGGGCCGATCTCGTCGCGGCGGCGGAAAAGTTGCGGGGCGGAGAGAGCGCGAGCGAGCGGGGCGAGAGCGGGGACAGCGGCCCGGCCATGGACGACCTCGGTGAGTGCGCGGGCCCACGCGGGACCGGGGCCCCCGCCGCCACCGCCCCACGGGGCGGGGCTGGGGACCCGCAGACTGGGGGGCCGCTGGCATCCCCCCCGGCACTTCTAATGAGCTTTGAGATCCCCCCCGCCGCTCCCCCCACTCCAGCGTCCCGGCGCCGGGGGTCTGGGGGCCCAGCAGGCCAGCCCCCCCCTTCCAACTCCACCATCTTCCTCGTCGCCCCCTCCTGCACCCTCCTCCCCACCCCCCAATCCTGGGAAGGGGAGCCCCCCACTCCGGAGCGCTTCCACCTGAGGCTGGGGGCTGCTCCCACGTTGAGTGAGATCACCCCTAGGCTCCCGAGGGTCTAGGGCTCCGAAGTGGGGTCTTCTCGGTGGGATGGGTCCCAGCCCGTGTTTGTTTCCCGGTGAAACTGATGAGGCGTTCGGGGGCTGGGCTGGGCTGGGCGTCCGGCCCCTCGGGGTCAGGAGCCCGGAGCCATCCCTGGGGGCTGGCCGCCGGCCGCACCCCTCGCCTCTACTTGTCTCCGGACAGTCTGACCCCCACGAAGGGGAGAGGATGCCGGAGCCAAAGTTGGCTCTGTCCCTTCTCGGGGGTCCACTGGCTCTGGAAGCCGGCTGCCCGTCCGGGCGCTCCCTGAGCCCCAGGAGCCCCCCTCCCTACGGGGTGAGCGGTCATTCGTGCCTCGGAGGGAGGAGAGAGAGAGAAGGGGCGCTGGAGTCAGGAAAAGTTAGCTGCTGCTTTGGCAGAGAGAGAGAGAGAGTGTGAGTGAGTGTGTGTGTGTACCAGGGGTGACTGGACAACTCTGCCCTCCGAGGATGTATTCGACAGACAGGACAGATGGGGCCTCCTCCTCCACTGCTCAGTGTCCTGTGGGCAATCTGGACGCCAGGTCTGAGCGACTCTGGGCTATTTGTAGGCGCAGGAGCGTTCCAGGCAGAGGTGGGGAGGAGGAGGGTCATTTGGGAGTGTCTCCCTGACCCTTCTCTGGGTGCCTTCCCCTGGGAGACTAAGTGGACGGCTAGCCCAGGGGTTCTGTCTGTGCTCCAGACGATGAGTTCTGCCGAGGCTAGACTTGGCACCCGTTTTCCAACATGCTCAATGCTGGCACTGGTTCTGGGCAGGTATTTTTCCTTTCAAAATGGGTATGCCTGGAGGAAATCTGGGACAGTCTTTGCTTACCATACCTCATCTAAACAGTTTGTTACTTGGGGTGGGCAGAGAGGGGAATGACCAGAGTGGGGAGTGTGGTAGGGTGGACCAGTGCAAGTCAAAAGACTTGGTTTGGTGCGAAGTTCACTCTCTGATGCTTTCTCCCTCTTGGACTTTGGGCAAATTACTTGACTGTTCTGGGCCTCAGTTTCCTCATCTGTAAATGGAGGAGGCTGAACCAGCTGGTCTCTGAGGTGCCTTCTTGGCTACTGTGTGTCATCTCGTAGACTCCCTGGGCACTGTTCTAGAGGCAGCTGGAAGGGTCACCACTGTTTCTCCATCTCACCTCTGCCTCACAGAAGCCCTCCCTTCATCCCAGACACAGCTCCAATAAACCAGTCCAGTAAACATTTATTAAGCACCTACTGTGTGCCAGGCACTGTACTAGGGGTCACCTGCCACGTAAGGGGTTTCCTGGTCCCTTCTCTAGTGATGATGCTGCCTCTTTGAAATATCTTTGGTTTTATTTTCCCTATACTTTTGTTCATTTAGCTGTGTAAGTTTCTGTATTTCCTTGTCTGTGTTCATCCCCTCCACTTGTGCCCCCAGTAGAATGTGAGCTCCTTGAGGGTAGGGACTGTTTTGTTTTTGTATTTCCTACTCCTGGTACAGTGCTGGGCGTATAGTAGGCAATTAATATCACCTCTAAGAACCCTGACAGTCATTGCCACACTCTCTGGGCCTCAGTTTCCTCATCTGTCAAGGGGGGTGGGGTTGTACTTGATGCTTTTGAGGTCTTCTCCAGTTTTAGAGCCATAAACTCTTGCACAGTCTCCTGTGACCCTTCCACCTTTAAGCTGACCAATCCCAAGCTGCTTCTAGCACGTCTCTCTCTGTTGTGCTCTGGGGACTGGAGTTTGAAGCTGAGATCCTGGATGCCTGCCCTCAGATGCTTCCTCCTCCTCCTCCATGTAGGGAAAAGGAACACAGTTACTCCCTGAAAGGAAAGATGGAACAGGTTGGGGCAGGGGGGGACGTAGTGTTTAAATGGCCTGGATCTGGGTGCAGCTGTGCTCCCAGGAGCCAGCGGGGCCACGCCTGGCTCACGGGCTGAGGCCAATTGATGGTGGCTGAGGGAGGGCAGAGGAATTTGCCTGGCCTCTGGGTCTCAGCCCCTCTGTCTTTCTGGCTGGCTGCTCCCGGAGTTGGCTGTCAGCTGTTTTTCTGAGGGTGGACATAATAATGGCCCGGGTCTCGTGTTTTTATTTCTTTTCCTCCCCAGAGTGCTTTCAGCTGGGAGCCCCATTAGCTTATGAGCCATCTTTTTTCTTTTTGGCTGACTGGGCTAGGGGGTAGGGGAGGAGGTTGGGGGGTGGGGTGGCAGAACCTGTGCCGCCAGACCTTTGTTTTTGGAAAATAATTGGAGAAATGTTCCCTCCCTGGAGCAGCCTGTGACAGACAGACTGGCCATGTGTTGTTTAATAAGTAACAAATTTATAACTCTTTCGTTGGTTGGGCAGAGAATGTAAACACAAAATGTCCAGCCCTGCCCTCCTCTTCTTTGCCCCATCCTGTCCTGCCTTCATCTTTCTCCCTCTATCCAGTATTGCTGGTGGCTTTTCTTACTACTTTGTAGACGCTCTTTGACTGAGAGTCTGTGCTGGGCTTTCCTGGATGGAGTTTCCATGGCACCTGAGGTGTACTCTGATGGTATTTCTGACCCTACTCTGTCTCAGTCCTTCCCTGATTCCAGTACCAGGCTCTAATTTTGCTCAGTTCTAAGTGGCTGTGTGGTGGGCATACCTCGGAAGGCAGCCTAGGGGCTTTGGAGTCGGCAGACTTAAGTTCAATTGCATTCCACCTGTGTGACCTTGGGCAAGTCACCCAACTTCCCTGGGCCTGCCTCAGCAGCCTTATCTGTAAAATGAGAAGGTTGAGCTAGAGGCCACTAGGTAGCTGAGTAGACAGTTTGGGCCTGGAGTCAGGAAGATTTAAATTCAAATCCTGCCTCAGACCCCTACTAGCTGTGTGTGACTCTCAGCAAGTCACTTTATCTCCCTCAGCCTCAGTTTCCTCAGTCATTATATATTGTAATTATAATGATATCTATTATCATGGCACCTACTTCACAGGGTTGTTGTGAAACTCAAGATCCAGTGAGATAACATATATTAGGTGCTTTTGCAAACCTTATATGTGAATGCTAGCTATGACGGTGAAGATTATCATTGCCTCCCGGGTTCTCTGTCCAGCTCTCTATCTGTGATCTTATGATCTACTGTCTAGGAGACTGATGGATGTCTAGGCTGGCTCTCTGCCTGTAGTCAGTGACTCTTATGCTCTCCCACCCCCTGTGTGACTAACTAAGGGGAAGGGGGTGTGGGGGCTGATGAATGTTTTCCCCATGAAATGTCTGCCCTGCGGCCTACAGCCAGGAAATGGCGTTTAGGGGCCACAGTGGTCTCAGCTCCAACCCCCACCCCTTCTAGCTCTGAGCTCCCCCCAGGCCCCTGCTGGGGGGCCCAGCCAGCTGTTGGCATTGCCCACTGGCCTCTGCAGTCTGGATCTGTCGACTTTCAGCTTCCCAGAAGCGCTGACCCTTTGGAAAACAGAGCCTTATTGTCCTGTTGGGGGGCAGGGGAGTTGCCTCAGGCAGCCTGGGCCTGTGGAACCTCCCTGTTTCCATGGAAAGTCTGGACTTTGTGCTGTCCGTCTGTGGCTCCTCTGTGTGTCGGGCCAGGGTCGGGGGCACCCAGCTGCTGGGTCTGGGGAAGTGGCTTGCCTAAGCTGGTGGAGTGGCTGGTGCCCTCCCCTTGGGCACTGAGCCAGATTCTCCCCAGAGCTGGGGACTTTGTTGAATGTTTGTTTCCCCTGGGTCCTCCCAATAGGATGTAGTCTGTACTGTATAGAAGAATGTAAACTCCTTGAGGGCAGGGAGCCTTTGTGTCAGCCAGGCCTAACACTGTGCCTAGCATATGCGGTAGAAGCCTGAGGAATGTTTGCTGAACTGCTGAATTGGGGGTCCTAGGCTGGTGTGTGTGTGTGTGTGTGTGTGTGTGTGTGTGTGTGTGTGTGTGTGTAGCATGAAGTGCTTACCTTACCTACAGGTCAATCCTACCTGGACCGTACACTACAATACCCATCTGCCTTAGTTTCCTAAGAAGTGAGACAGCAGAGCAACATCGTTTAGTTGGTGCATAAAACAATAGCTTCAAGGTCTGTGGTCCCGGGTTCAAATCCTGGCCCTGCCATTTTCACTGCCAGCCTGAAGCTGGGCAGGTCATGGCCCCTCTGTAAAATTTCCTCATCTGTAAAACGAAGGGCACCATTTGATAATCTCTAAGGTACATTCCAACCAAGCTTTTGAGGTCCTGGTCTCCCATCCCTAACACAGTGCCTGGCATCTAGTAGGCACTTAATAAATGCTTTTTTGATGGCTAAATCCTTTTATCCTCAACAAGGCATTGATCTGCATTTTTCCACGAGGTGAGTGTGTTGCAGATCTCCAGACCTAGACCACAAGAGAAAGTACCCTGTTTCCTAGATCCTGTCTTCCCTGCCAGTTCTTTGGAGTCTGGGGAGACCAGGGGTGGAGAACCTTCGGGCTTCAGGCCACATGTGGCCTTCTAGATCCTTACAGAACAAACCCAGGTAAAATTTGGATTCAGTCAAAAGGCCACACTTAAGGATCTGGAAGGCCACATGTGGCCTGAAGCCCGAAGGTTCCCCACCCCAGGGAGAGACACTCTCCAGGGACTGTAAGCTTTGATGGGCCCAGAGAGACTTGTTCAAAGGAATTCGAACCCAGGGCCGCTGGCTCTAAATCCAGCTCTTTCCCTTACCCC